GAAACAGGGTCTCATTATGTAGCTCTTGTGGGTTTGGAACACACTGTATAGGCAAGGTTACCCCCAAACTCACAGAAATATGTCTGCCTCTGTCTACTGAGTCCTGGAAATAAAGAAGTGTGCCACTATCTGACAGTAAATTTATGAAAGAAATAATTATCAGTAATGAAAAAACTTTGGGGCTGGAGAGATGGCTCAGTAGTTAAGAGCACTGACTGCTCTTCCAGAGGTCCTGAGTTCAATTACTGGCAACCACATGGTGGCTCCCAACCACCTTGAATGAGATCTGGTACCCTCTGCAGGCATGCAGGCAGAAGACTGTATACATAATAAATAAATAAAATCTTTAAAAAAAAAAAAAAACTTTGTTCCAAATTTTCAAAACTCCATTATCCTTTGAACATTCCCTCCAAAATTTAAACTTTTTCTGAGGCAAAAATACAAGTTTAGACCATCCTGGGCTGCACAGTGAGAGTTTGTCTCAAAAAACAAACCAACAGCTGGGCTTGATGAGATTGTCAAGGAAATCAGGACATTGAGAGATGCCTGGGTCATGGGCATTCTGCCATTTTAGGTGGCCTTATGGTGAAATCCTGGGAGTCAAGAATCTATTGAAGGAGTGGATTCATTATAAATGTGAGTTTCTAGAGTGCTCTGTTCCTGGCCTCCTTATCTAGCACTTATGACACTTCAAAAGTTGCTCACCAGATGTTGCTCTCTGTTGAAATAAATAAAACAAACCATTAGCCAAATAAACGCCTTAGGTTCTTCAACCTGACTGACACTCCTGGAACATGGCAGTTGTCATTCTTGTCATTACTAGGGAAAGCATGTTGCAACTTTTAAATTATGAACAGTACTAATGCTAAAAAAATGTGGTGATAGGGCTTCAGAAAATAGATGACTTATAGCTACCAAACCAAACATTTAATCTGTTCAAATCTAAGGAGCCCAGATTATAAGCATTTCGACCTATCAGATGAGATGCACAGAGATTCTTGCACACAGGCATCACAGAATACTGAGTATTGTAGCTCGGATGGAAAGGTATTCTGGCAACCAGGAGCCAAGAATTACCACAGGTGACAGTAAGCATAGCAGTTTACAGCCCTGCTTCAGGGAAAGGCTTTCCCAGTGTATCAGCTCTGCTATGGCAGGAGAGGGTTTCCCCAGCCAAGTTGCTCCAGTCCCAGGAGAGCAGAATGTAATAACTTTGCTTTGCCAGGGGAAGGTTTCCCAGGCACAAAGTGTTACAGCCCAGCTCCAGTCTGAAAGAAGGTCACCCAAACCTCATTCAAGAGATTTATTGGGAGGGAAGAATCCAGGAGAGTGCCTGCCCTTTGCCAGGGTGGCAGAGGACAGCCAGGCAGCCCAAACATCAAGAAGTTGAACAGGCACAGGGTTTCTCTGTGTAGCTTTGAAGCCTGTCCTGACACTCGCTCTGGAGACCAGGCTGGCCTCAAACTCACAGAGACATAGAGATCCACCTGCCTCTGCCTTCCCAGTGCTGGGATTAAAGGCATGCACCACCAACGCCCGGCTTATATGGGGATTCTTAGATGGCGGAGTTTTCCAGGGAGATTTTAAGGGTGGGGATTGGTCAGATTTCAATCCTTGAGCTCAGATTGGCTAGCTCTCCTGCTCAGAGATTGGTTGGTTTTCTACACAGGTTTAGGGTCAGATTTGGCTCTGGTTTGAGGGCAAAGGGTATTTCTTTGGCACTTTGGTTTCAGCGTCAGGGTGCATTTCTTTGGTTCTTGTGGCAGGGCCAAAGTGTGTTTCTTTGGCTCTTTTCAGGGTGTGTTTCTTTAGCTGGCCCTTTTCCCTTACAGTTATGTATCAACTCAGTGTACCTACAGCTTCATATTTCAAGTGCTTAACAGAAAAAAAAAATGGTTATTATCTTCAGCAGTCATTGAAATGTTATGGTTATTTATTTCCAAATCGTCATTGAAGCCAAATAAATGCTGGTGATGATGGGAAGTAAAGCATTATGTAATGTAAAAGCTTACTCAGCTCTTCCATTAACCTATGGACAAGATCATGACTTAGGTTTATATGCTTGTCATTGAATAAATGTGCTTTTATTGTACTTCAGAAGAGAAAAAAGGGGGATAGACCTGTGTTTTAAACGCTGAAAAAAAATTTTCAGCTTTTTTGTACATTTGTATGCATGCTTATGAATGTGTAGCTGCATGCATGCACTCACTTATTGGTATAGGTACGCCAGAGGGGGGCATTGGCTCTCCTGGAACTGGAATTGCTGGCAGTTAGAAATTGTCACACGAGGATGCAAATCCTGGTAGTCTCTAAGAACAGTATGCACCTTTTTTTTTTTTTTTTGGCTTTTCAAGACAGGGTTTCTCTGAAGCTTTACGGCATCTGTCTGGGAACTTGCTCTATAGAACCGACTGGCCTCAAATTGAGAGATACACTTGTCTCTGCCTCCAGGGTGCTGGGATTAAAGGCGAACAAGGTCACCGCTCGCCCTACCTCCATCTCTTAAATGCTGGGATTATAGGCATGTATCACAAGGTGTGGGATTTGTTTTGAAATTATAGCTAGGGGCTGGAGCAATGGCTTAGAGGTTAAAAGCACTGAATGCTCTTCCAGAGGGCCTGGGTTCAATTCCTGGGACTCACATGGCAGCTCACAACTGTCTGTGATTCAAGTTCTGTGGGAAAACACCAATGTACATAAGAAACAAATTAAAAAGAAATCATATCTAAGGCAAAACCAAAACTCGTGAAATGCTTACAATCCCATTATTCCAGAGGCAGGAAAAGGATCTAGAGTTCAAGGGCTGTCTGTGCTAGATAAACACTGTCTCAAAAGAAAAAGAATCGGGTATTTTCGCATGGAATATAGCAACTTGGTCTATCACCAACTGCTTCGATGCAACTCAACAGCATCAGTTGTCATCCCGCTAACAACCGCCAGGGCGAGGCGCATCTCTCAGGTCTTTACTGGAGTCCTGGAAATCCGGCACCATGACATCCGTAGGTGTAGACGAGGAACAAAAGACCCTCGTGCCGCCCTCCCGCGGCTCCGCTCCGAACGCGCCCGGCGGGGCTCCCGGGCGAGGGTCGC